TCCATGCTGCCTTCAAATATACTGTGGCTATGCTGGGTAATAAAGTCATCTTGGATGTCAGGAGCAGGATTATTGCCCTTGCGATAAGAAGAGCCTGTCCACATTATATAGAGGGAGACAGCATCCTTTTTGAACTCTGGAGATAAATCACAGAATAATAGAAAATGAGGGTTGAAGGGACCTCAGGAGGTCACATCTAGTCCACCCCCCTGCTCAAAGCAGGACCAGCCCCAACTAGATCATCCCAGCCAAGGCTTTGTCTACCTGGGTCTTAAAAACCTCCAAGGATGGAGACTCTATCATCTCCCTGTGTAACCCATTCCAATGCTTTACTACCCTACTAGTGAGACAGTGTTTCCTAATGTCTAACTTCAACTACCCTTGCTGTAACTTGAGATGGTTGCTCCTTGTTCTGTCGCCTGCCACCGCTGAAAACAGTCCAGCTCCATCCTCTTCAGATCCACCCTTCAGGGAGTTGAAGGCTGCTGTTAAATCCTCTGTCAGTCTTCTCTTCTCCAGACTAAATAAGCCCAGTTCCCTCACCCTCTCCTCATACGTCATGTCCCCCAGCCCTCAAACCATTTTTGTTGTCCTCTACTAGATTCTCTCCAACTTGTCCACATCCTTTCTACAGTGGGGGTCCAAAACTGGACACAGGATGCCAGATGTGGCCTCACCAGTGCTGAATAGAGGGGGAGAATCACTTCCTTCAATTTGCTGGCAATGCTCCTACCAATGCAGCCCACGATGCTGTTAGCCTCTTGACAGCAAGCTTGCTAAGAACTTTATTCCAACTACTCAGTTGGCCTAATAAGAGATATCACATCTACTCAAAGACAACAAGGGCACACTTAATATTTATACTGCAAGTGTACCTTTTTATTTCTTGAAAGCTGTTTCTGTTTAGTTGAGGAATACTTAATCATGCAGAGGATTTGTCAACAGAAGCCATGAGTAGGAACTTTGGGAAACTCTTTATTCTCATCTTACCCTTCAGCCCTTCTCCCTTCCAGGACTTTCTGCCTGAACATTGAAAATCTTTCAAATAAGGTCTCCCTCATCCAATATGAACCTGCCTTCTTTAAGTGCCAGGACTGCGTAAGAGTCAGCAACATACTGGGTGCGTCTACATGTTCATTAATATGTCTTAGGTACCGTGCAAAGTGTGCATTTAGTTTAGTACTTCCTCAACAAAGTACTAGCTAAAGTTATTGCACAGTAGCGCTGGCGCACAGTTATTTAGTGATGCTTACTGTGCCTAATAATGTTGAGAAGTAGGCTTTTAGCATGGCTTATGCTGTAACACACTACTGCATACTGTTATTAGGCTAATGTACAGTAAGCGTCTCATGTAGATGCGCCCACTGTGTCACTCACTTGCCTTAAAAGCAAAAGTGAGCTTGGAGTGAGAAGAGGGTACATGACTGTTAAACATTGTTTGTGTTCAAATATTGTTTGTTTCCTCCAGTTTTTTTGCAGATTTATTAGCAATGACATTACTGCCAAGAACCATAATCAAGGAATAGCAGTACCTGGGGGTGATGCATTGTCATGTTTTGTTAAAGATTACTGTGTAACAAGCACACTCCATCTCAATAAATCCCCTCCCTACACAAGATTTTAAAAGGAAAATAAGGGAAAGTGACAAAGCAAACGGTCCCATGTGAAGACTGATGGGAGTCTATGGTCAGAGCCAGCCAGAGACATTAAAAAGTTCTCTCACAATAGGTGTAATTTTAAAACTCAAGTAACCTGAAAGGTTAGACATATGGCTGCTTGTTCCCAATAGCTGACAAAGGTGCATTTATGTGACGGTTGCCAGTTGTCTGTGCCAGATTCTTCGGGTGACCCTGCTGAAGGCTGTTCCTCTGTTGGGAAAGGTCTCATGTGTACAAGGTCCAGATGAGAAGAAACTAGGAAGGCCGTGCACAGAATTTCCATCCCGTCCGTAAGTTGACTTCTATAAGCAGGGCTTTGGGAGGTCCTGAGCCAGTCCATGGAAATAAAACAGAGTCTTTAAACAGACAAGCAAAGAAAACCCTCTTCTCCTGCCCCAGACGCTGGAGTGGACCCAAGGAGCTCTGGCCCTAGCACAGCAGCATGGCCCTTCTGTGCAGCAAGTGGCTCAGCCCATCCTTTGCCTCTGCATTGCAACTGTTCCCTCATAGTTTGCTCCCCTGCTGCTCTTCTGGGGTGGGGGGGAAAGAGGGCTTAAGCTCCCAGTGAGCCAGCTGCCCCCTCAAACCATCCTGTTAGACCTTCTCTCAACTTTGTCCCCTCTTCTCACATACCTGAAAATTTTTGACCTTCGCAGCTGGAAGGACCAAGAGATATGTACTCTGAAGGACTGAGAGAGATTTCAGATGCTCCCTTGTGCCCTCCATTACAGCAGCAATACAACAGATCTTTTTTTACAGGAGCTACCAACATTGAACCTCAGAGGTTTGGCGTCTTCCAGAAATGGATGTTCCAAATCCTGTGAAATGGGCTATATCCCTCCCTTATTACTATTGCCTGTGTTTTATAAAGTAGCCTTCTTCATCGTGTGGAAAACACACTTCTATTTGACCTACTAACCTTGGGTTCTTCAGCAACCTAAAATACAGGATGTTGGATATGATAGACATGGCCAGACCATTGCCCATTGACCTTACGTTGTATCCCCGGCAGGGACCAGTAACTGGTACTTCAGAGAAGAGAATCTGACCCCACTTACCCTGAACCTGGCCAGTTTGTGCCAGGCTCCACACGGGCAAGATTCCTGCCTTGGCCACATGGCAAGGTAAATGAGGTAGAGCTTGAGGTTTATTTATATCTTAACTTCTCCATCTACAAATGTTATATAGACTACTAAGTCCTCTTTTAAATCAGGCTCCAGTATTCAGTGCTGAATACGATCTGGATTGATCGCAATGCTTTTTAATGCAAAGAAGATGTGACTTCCTAAAACCTCTTGTCTGGTTCCAAGAATCTGATGCACTTTGGTAGACAGATGAACAAAACATTAAGGGAACCTTTCTTTCAACAGCATAGTTTGCCCTCAAAAATCTTCGACAATAATTCAGTACTTCTGTGTGTTTTTATCTGTAGATTAATTCCCTTTATACTTTAACCCATTCACCCTCCAGCTTCATACATTTATTAATAAAAAGGGGTTACTTTGGACTTCATGTAATCAAGGCTTGTGTGAAACTATTCTCTCGTCAGGAGGCATTAAGTTTCCAAGTTTTGAATGTTAACACATACCTTTACTTAGTGAATAGGTGTAACAGATGCTTACAAATATCAAATTACAATAGACTTATTTTATCTCTGTACAGTCAAGTTTCAACTAGTGGAGAGCCCATGGCAATCAAAACAGGCAGGAAAAAACTGATGTTTTAGAGAAACTTGAAATGCAGTTTGACTCTTTCTCTTACCACTAGATGAGCTATCTGCATTAAATTGTGTTTAATTTAACTCTAGAACTATAGAGCCCAATTAAAAATAATGAGGCCTGTCTCTAACTGTCAGGCTCAGTTAGAGATAATGGGGACTGATAGCTCCTGGAATAGATTCATTTTTGTCTGATAGATGAATTGGGGCAGGGGTCTTGGCAGGGGTCATTGGAATAGACTTGGCAACAAAACATGGGTCACTCAAGCTTAAGGAGTCTTTAGGAACCTAGTTATTAAATAAGGAAGTAGGAAGTAAATCAAATCCAAAAGCACATGAATAACCCCAACAGATTCTCTTTCTATCACATATTATTACATTGCCATTCATCTAACAGTCTCCACCTTAAACCAACAAAATACTCCATCCACAAAGATGAAACCATTCAAGAGGAGGACTGAGGAAAAAATAAGTGTGCCCTACTCCATCTCATAACAAGGGAGGGGGGAATCAGTACTTGTATTAATGTTTACTAAGTATAATTCTAGTGATAACATTTGAGATCACATAGAGAAGTATTCAAAACCATAAAGGAAAATTCGGGAACCTGTTTTGGCAGCAGTACAAAAAAGGTCACACTACTACTTTCTCTTGGGCCAAAAAAAATAGATTTGTTTGTCTCTATTTGCTCAGCACTTTCCAAATTACAATGGAAAGAGCAAAGAAATTGAGAAACCCGACTGACTGAGAGGACTGAAGCTCCTTGTCCCTGAAGAAATATATACTTGTGCTGATATGGCTGCCCTAAACTTCTCAGCACTAGACAGTAGCTGTCATTTTAAATGAATAGTTTATCGTGAACTGAGTGGGAAATGCAATGCATCGGTGACTATTTATTCGGATTGAATGACAGTTGCTGTCTGTTAGCACCGCTTTTACCCTGCCTGGAATTTTTAATCTCTCAGAGGCAAGGCTTGCCAGTGAGTCCATTGTCAACAGCAATGACTCTGAGCTTTTGCATTGGGCAAGCCCGGCGCGTTGTGCCTTGGCTGTCCTTTGTTTCTCTGCAAAGACATTTTTTAATTTAATGATATCTCCCTCAATGTATAGCGATGCACGTGCGATGTGCTGCTGATAGCCTTCCATTGTGTTTCCCCCCCCACCTATGCCTTAGCCTACAAAGTCATGAATCTATTGTCTGTGACTTCTGAGAGAAAAAAATAATCAAGCAGTTATGCTCATCTCCGAGGTGGCTGGTTGCAAGGCATTGTGTTCAAGTAGTGTGTGCAACAGTGAAACTCACTTCAGTAGGTCAGATATTTACAGAGTATTAACATCTTTAAAATGCAAAGATTTGGAGTACTTGCTTTAGCTAGATGCCAATGAATACTATGCAGGGAGTTCAAAGTGTGCATAACAAGAAGGTTTTTTTTTCAAATGACTCTGTAAGCAACATCTCTGAGCTCAGCTATAGTTGAGCTTCCATCAGCTTCTCAAGGAAAGAACCTATTTTTCTAAGGTATTATAATTTGAAAATACATAACTGGGCCAGACTGAAATTGAGCACATAAGGCCTTTGATTTTGAGGAAATTTTATTTTAATCCTTTGTGACAACAGAAAATAATGCTACTTAGCAGTTCTATAGCTCCTTTCATCACAGTATCTCAAACATCTTGACAAAAACTAATGAATTAAGCCTTGAATCAGCTTTGAGAAAGATGAACATTATTCCTGTCCTATACATGAGAAAAACCAAGACTCGCAATTATCGACATCATTGTTCAGAAGAATACCCCATTAATTTCAGCGATAAGCTCTACTTAAAAATTAGTGACACACTGCAGCCCAGAGAAACTAAGGGGTATATTTCCCAATAGTGACTGCTAATCTGAACTCTTTCCATATTTGCATGTCTGCCTTGAGGCAACTAGGGACTGATTTTCAGACGGGTGAGTAACATGCAGCTCCCATGGATGATGAATAAACAGACCCTGGGTATGTCAAACTGGTTGCTCAAATGGCAAAGCATAGCAAATGAGTGGATACTTCCAAAAATGCAGTCCTTTGACTTGTTCAAGGTCTCACTTGTGGTAGAGCTGGGAGCAGAACCGTATCCTCTGACTCCTGGTAGTGCAGTTACATGGAATGATCGACAGGGGATGTTGCAAGATCAGAACAGCCAGCACAGTCAGTGCTGGATGGAGACCAACTGCTATATTGAGGCTTGTGAAACCTATGGATTAACACTCCCATATAGCCCACACTTCCTGATCACCCCTTTCTCTTTTCCATACTCTGTTCACCCTGTTTCTCAAAACAGGCCCTGTGCAACATAATTTAAAGTAATATGAAGCCATAATCCTTGGTATTGATTTTCAGTATGCGGGGAAAATGAGGAGAAACAGGATGAGGTTTCTTTTTTAATATTATACTGTGAAAGAAAGATAACGGAACCGTAACACCCCACTCTAGAAAATATTCCATCAATATTGCGGCACTTACTAATAAATGCTGAATTATCATTTTATACATTATTTTTGCAGCTCTTCAGCTAGAGATCACTTCCTGATCAGAACCCATATTTCACAAAGTACAGCCAAGATTCAAAATGCTGAGAAAAATTGAGAAAACCTTATAAATATAGGCTGCAATAATTCTAAACTTTATTTTCACTCCTCTTGCCATTCTTAGAAACGTTATGGCTGAAATTCCTGCAGCTTAAAAATAAAGTCTTCAATTGTGTAATCATTCCACTAGCATAGCCTGATTTGTACTCTGAAAAAGGCAAGGAACCATCTTCTACCCTTAAGTACATATGATGTATTCTATAACTGGCTCTATAACTGCATGACTTTCTTTAAGGTTATCATTCTGAAATAAACTCCTTTACTGTAAGTATTTGCATACCTGGACATCTCCAGGAAAAGCAAAATATTCCACCTATTTCAAATTAAGTCTCTTTTTTTGTAGTTGTTAGAAAAAAACATTTCAAAACCAGATCTAGTGCACTGAATATGTGAAAATGCACAAGAATTGTTTTAGCTCTTGGTGTCCTAGGAAGAAAACTCCAAAGTTTGTCTATGCAGAGCCACATAAAAAGCTACACAGCAGTCAGTAAAACAACTGTGGGAAAGAAGGGATATTGAATTTATTAATTAAACATTAACATTCATGTTATGACATGTTAATGAGCAATCTGCAAACAACCCTGTATAATACAGCAACCCAGCTCAGACAATGTCACACCAAGCTAGTAATAAAAGATATAGATATGTTTTCCAGCCAATGCCTAAGCCAACCTTTCTATGTGATTGGCATTACCATCTAAATATGCAGGGCTGTGCAGGATTTACTGAGATGTTACTATTCAAGTCAATCAGAATCATGCAGCTAAAACCTTGAGCAACGCCTATGAAAATTAAGCGGTAAGGGTCTGACCAAGTGACAAAAACCAGGAAAATCAAATTTAATGCTGATGCTCTGTCTTCTCACACCATTGAGCCATTTAATTTCTCACTTCATCCTATGGCATGTTGCCATCGGGATATGCATGCCTTAATGGTGATGTATGTCCCAAAATTGAAAGTTCATACAGTCGACAGATTCTTAACTTTGTTGAAGAAAGTGATTTTTAAATGAATAGCAATAGGGCATCCAAATTATCCATATAACCAGCATTCAATCAGTACCACTGCTGATATCGTAAACATCCACCTGCCAAAAAAACCCTTAGAAAATTAGCCTCTCAAGTTTGAATAGGAAAAAAAAAACAACTTTCACTTGTCAGTCACTCAGCTGTTACAATCTCCACTCCCAACTATGTTGCTATGCTCCTGTTTACATTTCGGTGAAGGAAAATCAAAACCAAATGCCAACTGCTATTTGTCTGTTTTCATTGACACTTTTTGAATCCTTTGGAAAACATTACCTCACCTCTGGCCTGATCCTGCCTGCCTTGTGAATTCAAAGCTCCCTATGATATCAGTGGCAAGATTGGGCCCTTCGTTTCCTTTCAGTTCCCCTGTAAAATCAGATCTTTTCTGTATCCACTGTAGCTTGACAGTGCAATCTTTTCTAAAGGACTCAGACTGCATACACCTGGCTTTTATTGGCAGGTGCATCTTCTGAATCAATTTCTATTTCTTCCATAGAATGCCCTTAGTTTAGAGTGAAAGGTTAGATGTCACTTTTTCTTAAATCTCAAGACTATTGCCACTAGAACAATCAAACATTTCCAACCATTTATTTTACATGGGCATTTCAAGAGTTTGGAAAATACACTGAAACACAGCAGGCACCCTTTCAATTCCCTTGAGCCTCCTCTCCAAAAATAACTTACAGCGGGGTAAAACAGTCACATAATATATCTTGAAGATGCTGGGATTTTTCTTTTTGCCATTGAGCAGTTCTAGTTTGGAGACACTGTGTTGGCGCACACCATACTATGGTGGCAGCTCCCATCATTCAGTGGGTCCCGTGTGCTATAGCAGAAACTGCCAAACAAATGGTTTATTCTCTTGTGATAGTAAACCAGGAAACAAATCTATGATGACACTGTTACATGCATTTGTGAACTTAATGGCATTGTAGGTCACTGGACAAATCTTTCTAAACTGAACTGTTGACAGTTCTTTACAGGGTTCCCCAGAGGAAACATGAGGTTAATTGACCATTCCTTCAAACCATGAAATGCTTTTGAAAATGTAAGTTTTAAGTCTGGTAGCCTCAACTCTGATGAAACAGCATGTTTGCACTACGGTGTCTTCTAATTACTGAAATTAAGAATTTTGGTCAGGAGAGGTGAAGAGATGGTTTAATTGGATTTCTGAGTCATATAAACATGAAGCAGCAGTCATCTAAAATGGGGCAGTGTTTAGGACACACGTTAGGCAGCAGAGTACCTGTTACAGTAAGCAACCCATGAGGACAAGCACCTACTTCTCCATGATACTAATCTGAAGAAGGCCTTATGAAAAGAGGGGTTTTAAAGGTGCAGCCTTAAGTCCTAAAGCACACATGCACATGCTCCGCTTATGAGATTATGAGTTCCATTGGATTTCACAAAAGATAAAAATCATCACACCAGCACTTGCATCAGGAAGTCTGTATGAGTAACTTTACACTCTCGTCAACAATCTGCAAAACCAGGGCCAGAGATTCCAGCACATGTACACTCAGAGGTTTCCTTTTTAATTGTTCTTCCTGAACATATGGAAAGAAAAGTAGATTTGCTTTAACGAAACTGGTACACAACTGCAAGCAGCTGTACACCACCTAGCTTTCATTGTGACTGGAAAGGAAATGGAAACCAACTATTATGAACCAGATTCTAATACATTGCTCACCATCAATTAAAAATGTATTGTACTGTTTGATGGGTGATTATAGGCTAACCCATTATTTCAAATGGTCTATTATCCACCAACAACCTCTCTGAGTGACCTAGTTATACTAATGCAGACCTTATGCCAAAATAGTTTGCTGTATACTTGGCTTCACAAATCAACAGGTTAAATTTTGAGTTTCCGAGTTTTATGGTTTAAGTGATTTTGTTAGCAGAGATACTCTATGTCATTTTATAGGCACAGAGTAGAAAAACTAAACCCAAAGGCTCTATTTATTATTAAACAGGGAATTTGTATTTTTTTTTTTTACAAATAATCAGTATAGTCCTTTTAAAATATTTCTAGCTATAAACAATAAATGCAAAACTAAATAAATACCATTTACAGGATAACAGTTAGGATGACACCTTGCTGGAGACTGGTTCTAAACCCCAGATAAGAAAGCTTTGAGTGCTGCAGAAATTTTGTTCCAGTGCTCAGCTCCCACCTGCCCTAAACGTCTACTGTTTAGCCCATTGCAGAAACAAGGATCCCACATTCTGATTCCATTGGAATGACGAGCCCATGAACCTGAAATTCAAATATGGCATAACATTTCAAAATGGGAAACACCAGAGAAAATATTAGTTCAAGAGGCAGAACTATTGAAACCAACATAAATTTCAGTTGCCCTCTAAATGGGGATTAACTACTATAGCAACCTGCACTAAACTCACTTGCTATGAAGTACTTCCTATTTGGAAACCAGGGATGTGCCTATCTAAAAGGACAAGCATAAAATATAGCCACATGATTTAACTTGTTCCATGGGTTCTCTCTTTAAAGGGATCAAAGTGAGAGATGTTTCATTCTTTGAAATTTTATTTTTGCAGGATTATGTACTTGGTGCCACTATGTTTAAAATCTCACCATGCAAAAGTGTTAGGATTAGAGATTGGCTAAAAAGGAGTAAAAAAAATGGATGGAAGAGCCTGTCATCATCTTGAATCTGTTGTGACTTAAATCATGGCTTTTTTGTGGCCTGGGTGAGCTGTGCTGATGATCTTGTAACCAAAACCAGCCCCCTTCCTGGCAATCTCAGAAGACAGGTTAACTGAATGGGTATGGAGAATGAACTTGCTTCTCCCCACCAGAGGAGAGATCACCAAAGTTAAAATTTACTGGCATGATGTTGAAGCTGCTTCTCTGGTGTGCCTATTTTGTGGATTAAGAAAGACTTCAGTCTCCGGTGCTGTTGTTGATTAAATTTTAAATAAGGGAGGGTGGGGCGTGAAGAGATAGAAAGAGGTCCAGTGAAATCTATCCTTAGAAGTGATTCCACAGTTGCTGACAACAAACAGGAAAATGCTTGAACAGGTACCGATTGGCCAAAGACAGTCAACACGAATTCACAAAGGAGAGGTCATGCCTAACAAATCTGATTAACTTTGTCAAGGAGTGGGGACAACTGGGCTGATGGGATGTAGTGACATATACAGCCATTCTGGACTTCCTGAAGAGATTCTGATACTGTATTACAGAGAAATAGATATTAAGTTACTTTAGCTAAGAACTTACTCCTATCAAAGCTTTTAAACTGGGGGAAGAACCAGCTCAGCAAGAAAAGGCAAAGGGTAGAGTGGTGCACTTACAAAAGAAGAAGCAGAATACTGAAGAATAAATACTAAAATAGACTACTAAAAACTTCAGCCTCATCTTGTTCAGACTGAGCATGACTATAAAATGCCACCTCTAACAGAATGGCCATATGACTCAGTACGTCTGATCCCATGTAAGTGTCATTATGATATATTTGAACACCGGGAAAGTGGAAGTTCTTGGGCCTTCTGATTGTTCACAACAAACAGCTGGTGCCTGGGAAACATATGAAGATCATCTGGAATGTCAATACATGGAAAAAAAACTCTGCATGTATCTTGTGTACGGGCAAAGAGCAACACCAAAGGTCACGTGAAACATTTGCTATAAGCTGTAAGCAAAGGAGAACAATCCAGTCCTTACTGGAAGATTTTCACTCTTTGTTACAAACATTCTTTTTTTATTTTCCCTGTGTGCACGTGTAGGAGAGGGGGACCCTTCACAATGTGAGTATGAACACAGTTGAGAGCAATAAAAATATCATAATTATCTGGGTCATACTCACTGCCTGTGGAGACTAGCTTCAAACTAACAAAAAATGGAGTCTGAAAAAGCCCATCAGCAGGACATGGAAGACGTAAGTCAAAACCATACATCTTTCTTTGTAGTGCGCTGGCTGTCAGGAAACCGCAGATTGTCTAAAAGCAACAGTGTAACCAGGAATGTTGATTTTGTAAAATGCCACCTAGTTTGCTGAAACCCTCTGTCCTAATCCCCATGTAGAGATGAAAATTATAAATACCAACCAACTACATGCTAATTAATAAGTTATTTTCACATAGTTGCCAAGGGCTGGCAACGTCAAATGTCATTACAATAATTCTCATTTTTGCCAAACACCCTACAAAGCAAAATAAAAACACACGTTTAAATAACAGTAAGTATTTGACTTCACAAAAATAAGAGGCAATTCAGAGTGTGTACTGACATACTACTTGTAAACTCACCATTTCAAGCCTGGTATTAAACGGAGTACCTCTAACCATAGATGATGTTACCTTCCATATGGGCTGATGTTGTCTACCATATGTGCTACAATACCTACAGACAATAGAGTGAATAAAAGTAGCTGTAGCTTCAGTCCTAAATGGGTTTGCTCTTGTGGGCTTACATTAAAACCCGAATACTTTTAAATGATTTTAGGCTTAAAATACATCAGTGTGAAAAAAAAAGTTCATGGATCTAGAATTTGAAAGTTCCACTTCTATTGAGGTTACCCTGATTTTCACAAGCCACCCATGAGACATAATGCTACAACACTTAGGCATATGTGGACAAATGATGGAGAGACTGCCAGACTTTGCTTTTTTTTAGGTTAGTTTACAATCCCTTCACATAACCAAAACCTAATCTGTACTGGAATTATGAAGGTGTTGGTTTTCCCTATGTACTAAAGACAGCTTTATAAAACTCACTGAAAATAATGAAGAAGAAACTTTAAATCTCTCAGCTGTCTGAATTAAGAGATCGTATTAAACTGTACAGCAAGTACCCCATTTCCTTAGCACAAAGGTACTTCCTCCTTTCTCTGATTTTCATAATTGAAAATGAAAACCTGTGCTAATGATCTGAGTATCCCAGAGTGTGCAGCACGTCTCTGAAAGCCTATATGTACTACTGCTCTTGCACAACTCCCCTGAAACCAGTGCAGAATTATTCACTCCATTTCCCTTGCTAAAAAAGCAGTTTACTTTATACCTATTTGTATAGGCTGGCATACCAGAAAAGACACTCTCCCATCTGATGGCCAGCCTTGTCCTGATAATTCCCTGTATCAGTACAATCTATCTGTTCCTAAATGTCAACAATGTGACACTGAAATCAATGCCCAGGTCAGATGGCAGTTTTCAAAATCATGGCTATGCTAGGCAGCAGAGCCTTTTTCATTGGGGGATAGAGCCATTCCTCCCATGCCAGAGTATCAAGAGTTTATGTAGAGCACAACAACTTTCTCCCTGAGTAAAAAATGGCAGGTATTAAATTGAGTAAAAAGGGTCCTTGTGGTTAGAAGATCCCTGGCTTGCTTTACAAGTTACCATTTAGTTACTGCTAAGTTGGATGCAAAATAAACCAAATTAAGAAAGAATAAATATAACTATGCTTTGAAAGTGCAAATTGCATTCCAGAGGACAGAGTAATTAGGTTTCTCTTTGTTTATGGTGCTTGTTCAAGACCCTTTAAAAGCAACAGTATTTTAAAACATAGCTTATTCTGAACAAGTCAGGCACTAGGACCTCCACTGTATTTTCCTTACCTTAGTTGTAAGGAAGGTCTTTTTGTCCGTTACATCCATGCATGTAATCAGTGATTGTGCCTATTGTGAAACTCAGATTCACCATCTGTATGCTCCCAAGTGGCTAGACTAGTGCTAAAACCACATCCCTATGGGATTAATCTGCAATTTCACACTAAATGATTTTTAAGTATAATTTGTTGCAATGATACAGTTTTACAGAATCTAAAACAGCCAGTGTTTTGGTATCGAGGGCTTCTAAAGCTGCTGTACAACTAGTACCAAGTCCAACTTTACATTTGTTTCACTTCAGGCATTAATATAGAAGGGATATGAATGAACAGGTCTTATGGAAAAGGTTTTGGGTAACAGAAATAGCTGCATTTCATTTCCAAGGGAAAAAGTGTGTACATAGATATGGAATCTACATACTGATCCTGTAAACAGCAGAGAGAAGCAGATTCCTATGTATCTAGCTTGATGTCAGGACTTTCCATGATAAAGTTGCAGTTCAAAGTATAAATATAAATGTACAGATTCTGTGTTGGAAGGAAAGGAGCAATGAATTGTAAAGGCACTGTGTAAACAAAGGAGGAGACAAGGAACCTTGTCTTTCACTAAAAGCAGAGCTGGCTTGAAGTATGCAAGGGAATTATTCCTTTGCAAAATACACTCAGTTTTAAAAGCCTCCTATTTTTAAATAAAACAAGTTATTACTCCCTCCGCACATTTTAAGGTATTTAGTCAAAGAAAAAAAAATACAACCAGAAAATCTGCCTAACCAAGACTAAATAGATCAAGGGTCAGGACATTTTAACATGACATGCTCCAACAGGAAAGAGCCAGAGTACACACCAAGCAGTTTTTCAGCCATGCTGAGCTGAAGATAGCAACTCCAGACCAAACAACTTTATGATAGAGGAAATGTTTTTTATAATCTGTCTAGATGGGATACAGAGATCGATATAGTGTAGGTGAATTTCTGTATTACCAGCTTCCATCTTACTACTCCTGAATCTTCCTCAGCTATCCCTTGCTTTCCTACAATTCCTTCCTAAGGTTAACCAGTGAAAGAAGATGTAATAAATACATTTTAAAGGGAATTTCAGTTGATAGCAATGTGAATTCAGTACTGGTTAGCACAGCACGCAAAGCTGCATTGGGACTTTACTGACTGAGCTTCTATGTAAGACTAGGAGAAACATGGATCCCAAACTACTAGAACTGGAGACTAAGGATGTTTACAACGTAATTCCTCGTCTTGGCTAGCTGGGGCTTGCTCTCATAATTAATTCCCTCCAAACCCATTACTTCAAGAGGAGGAGGTGATTTGGCCACTAACAGTTAACTGATTTTTAAAGGCTCCATGTGGGTTTAACCATATGAGTCTAATTAAGCCAGCCCAAATCTGAATGAAAGAAAGAAAGTAGGAACTGCCAATAAACTATTTTTGCCAGTATTCATTCTGAAATTAACTTCAAGGAATGCCAAAAGTGCTGATCTCATTCCTTAACTAGACAGGACTGCAGTCCAAACTCAATCACTTAATACCACAGAAGAAACAAGCTCCCATCCAGCCTCTTTGCCCAAATCTGCAATTTTAAATCAAGCAGGCATCATACACTTCATGCCTTCGTTGTCCACAGCTGTTTTCATTGTAGCCCTTACATCTGTCAGGCAGTCCCGGGCCTCAACTGTAACATTAGTTGGGTGAGAAGACACATTCAAATGCTAAACTGCCCACAGGTGGGCTCACCAAGCTACATAATCAACATACAATTCACCTGTATTTAGACTTGTGGCTAGCAAGTCATCAGCTTTGATCAAAAGTAAGGAGCAAACACAAGAGCAAGACAATAGACAGACGTCTCTTGTAATGATGCTTGTTCCTGCAGAACAGCCCTATTTTTTAATATTGTTGGTATTATTATAATAGTACCTTTAAACTGAGAGATTCCACCACCTGTTCTGCTAAACATCCATCCTGCAAATACTTCATGCAACTTCAAGGAACTTACTCATGTGTATAGGCTTAAGCATCATTCTAGATGTGCTCAATTGGTGCTAAATAGTTAAATTGTCCATTCACTTGCCTTTCTCTTTAGCGTAAACTCCTCTAGTGAGGAAGGTGGGCATAAATGGTACTCTCTGCTCACTATAAGAGAGTACTCGTGACATCCATGCATTCCAAGCTGGAGTTGTACAATTCACAATGTCAGTGAGATAACCTAATCTTTCCAGCGGATGCATTATTACAAAGAAACAAGACAACTAAAATGCTTACCAGCATTTGCTCCTATAGGGAGATAGGCAGATACTGAGGTTGAGAAGGAAAACACGCATTTTATCCCGCACACCTGCCCCATACATGTTGGGTTATGAACCTCAAGCTGCAGGGCTTTAATTTAAAATTGTACTTCTACATGAATAGAAATGAAGGGGGTGGTTCCTAATTCCATGCTCACTGCTTTCAATAGTATATCATAAGTACACACAGCTGGAAGGGGCCTTCTGGCACTCAAATCATGTAATAAGCTGATCCAGGTTGGGGTTTATGTAGTGGGCATTTGTGTAGTATATACAGGCCACATCTACATGAGATGCTGATTGTGCAGTAAATGGTGTTACTGCGCAGTAGCATCCCTGTACGGCTTCGTGGTGATGCTTACCGTGTAGTAGCTTGTTACTACTGTGCAGTAGTATCACATCCCGGTTCATGCCTTGGGACACTACTGCACAGTAGTAACAAGCTACTACATGGTAAGCATCTTGTGTAGTAGACACAGCCACACACTCTGAATAGTGCCAAGATGCCATGAATAATGCCAGGCACTTGCACAACGGTCATGTTATCAGAAATAAAAAGGGTGGCATATATTTTGATGGAAAGTTTATGGGGAGAAAAGTCCAGGTTGCTCTAGTTAGTAATCTAATTCCTGAGAAGTGCAGCTGAGAAATCATAGGCTTTCTGGGCTCTATTCCAGTTCTGCTACTGGCACTGTGTGTCTGTCCTTGGTTCAGTTATTTCACCTGTTTTCCTTATCTGTTAAATGGAGATGACCTTCCTCACAGCCATACTGGCAGAAAGCAGGGTAGGGAGACGCACCTTATAGACTAACTAAATCAGAGCAGCATAAGCCTGCATGAGCTTGAGCTCATTTTATCAGATGCTGTGAAGGATCTCAGAACAGAGATCTGAGCCACTGTACTTTCCCTTCCTGTTTTCTCCTTTATCAGAGGTTTTTGGAGCGATACTGACATCAAATGATTAAACCTAACAACAGATGTGTTAGGAAGCTGGTTAGCCATGGTAGTCCAAAGTCAGGTAGAAAGCAGGGTAGAGATGCGTATGCATCTCTGAAGGGAAAAACCCTTTCATGGCAGCTGATGAAGCAAGCGCCAGCTCACGTACGCTTATGCACCTCTGATTTTGATAATCTATGTGATGCATCTCCACTCTGCCTTCTGCCTAACTTCACGCTAACATGCCTTTCTCACTGTCTCACGCAAACATCATTAGGTTGAATCATGGAAGTGGCGGTGGTGGCAACCCCTCAATGCCAAAGCAATCTCTACCACAACTCATTGATGGGTCTTGAGGTGATTTAAGAGTCCAGTCCTTCAGCCACAGATCCATTCACAGAAGTTGCAGGGCTTTCTGCAGGAGAGAGTAGGCTGCAGGCTGGGAATTTTTTTCCTTTTCCTTCCTCCATTCTCTCTTCTTTGTTTCGAGGGCAAGATGCTTTCCTTCAAAACATGTTGTGGCTCAGTTGAAATTGCGGTGCCGTTGGAGTGGGTTGGCAGCCAGCTCCTCCCAGCTCTTGACGTTGGCATCCATTTTCTTGAAGTATGCCTTCCATGTGTCCTTGTAATGCTGAATTATGGGGTTACACGCTAAAAACTTCTTGACAGGGGGGAGAAGACAGGAAGGGAGCTCACAGTGCCTGGGAGATGAGCCTCTTCCCCTATTTATTGGTGTGTCCTGGTTTATGGCACTGCACCCATCTGAGAACCCTGGCTGGGGCAGTGGCTTATAAGAGCCTGGAGTGATGTTCATAAACAGCTCAGCCCTTGCTAGTAAACATCTGTCCTGAACGGCAAACCCCAGAGAGCCTTGGGGGTCTCCACATCCACCCCCTTGCCCTGGCCCGTGCTTCCTTCACCCCTGATCCCGCTCAGGGAGATCTGACACAAGTTGGCAGTCAGTTTAAAGCAAACTCAAGGGTGTTGTTTTTCACCCAGGGTGTCATTAATGGGTGGGACTCGTTGCCACCACAGGCAGTGGAAGTGGACAGGGTAGCCAGATTCACCAAGGGACCGGATACATTCCTGTTGCGATGGAGCAGGGCAGTGAGGGGCACAGCCTCTAAATCGCTGCTTCCCAGACCTGCAGTGCTGGAGGCTGCAAGGGAAAGAGGAACAGGGGGGAAAAAGCCCTGTCAGACCCAGTTATTTCTCCCTTCCAGCCCCACTTGCTGCCTCCAGGTGACACAGGCCTATTGGTATGCCATGCTGTGACATGGGCCAAAGCCCTCCAAGTACAGCTACAAGCTTCCCCCTGTGATGGGGGCCACTAAGGGCATATCACGGATTGCGTGGGACAACACAATCAAAGCAGGGAAGGGGGTGAGGGTCAGAGGGGCTGGCGAACACTGCCTGGTCGCTCTGCCGGCAGAGTTTCGCTGGGAAAGTGGCCCCAGGGACCCTCCTGGCCAAAGCCTCCTTCCTGCTCAGATCCACCTGGGGCTTGGCTAGGCCCAGGAGCAGGTTGTTGGGTTTGTTTTTTTAATCTCGTTCAAGACCAAACGGTTTCCAAATTCAAGTGGACAAAACCCAGTCTTCCTGTTCCAGAATTCACCTCAGCGGCGCTCGGTCCTCAAGGTTGCTGCCCCGACCCTCCGCCCGGCCTCCTCCAGTCCAGGTGGGGACCCGGCGTGCGAGCCCCAGGCCCGAAGGCCGCAGGGGTTTGGAGGCCCCAGGCTTGTTTGATCGTAGCTGAAAAAAGGGCCAGGAGCGGGGTGGAGCACGGGGCCTGCGCCAGCCGGTGTTTGTGGGGAGGCATCTCCTGCCCCTTCCCACCTCTGTCTCCTCCACCCCCTGAGGGGGCTGTTCCTCAATTACCCCCTCGGGGGGCTGCTCCCTAACTACCCCCTCGGGGGGGACCGTCCCCCCACTACCCCTCGGGGGGCTGCTCCCAAGTACCCCACAGGGAGGCCGCTGGCGGGCCGGTTC